TTTCCTCCTACGGTCAGACCTACGGACCGTAGGTCCAACTACGAACCATGCTGGTCATCCATAGCTCTTTTCATTGAGTGGTTGAAGGGAGTCTTGATCAACGGTCACGGACTATGGACCGTCGTTTGACCTACGGACCGTAAGTCTGTCCGTCGTCTAAGACTTAACCAATATTTCTAGGCTAAAGATTTTGGGAGTTTCTGATCCCATCGACGGTTGTGCAGTACGGACTGTGGTTCAGGCTACGGTCCGTCGATGCCAGCGTTGGTAGCACCTGCAGATTTTTCTAAAAACTAATTTTTGGTGTGTTTTTGCTATGGGGTTTTACATTATCTCCCCTTTGGGAACATTCGTCCTCGAATGAAGACTAAACTAGTTGAAATAGAGGGAGAGAGATGCAAACCCCACTACTTAACACTGAGAACTGAGTTCTGATTGAATTGAGTTATGACTACATGCAATTACGCTAAAAATGAAAGTACAAACTGAGGGAACATGATTCTAAAACTGAATTTACACATGAATGATTGTAAAACTGAAGAGGAACTATTACCCAAGCTGGAGTGGAATCGGAAGGGAAAAGGTAAGGATACTTGGCTTTCATGGCTGCTTCTGCTTCCCAAGTAGCTTCCTCTACGGACTGACTCCTCCACAAAACCTTGACTAAAGGGACTTCTTTGTTTCTAAACCTTCTAACCTAATGGTCAAGAATCTCAACTTGTACATCCTCATAAGAAAGACTATCTTTCACTGCCACACTCTCTAATGGCACTATAGAGGCTGGGTCACCCACGCACTTCTTCAAGAGTGAGATGTGGAAGACCGGATGCACTGCTGCTAATTTTGCTGGCAACTCTAACTGATATGCCACCTTACCAATCCTTTTCAAGATCTTGTAAGGGCCTACATATCTAGGACTGAGCTTCTCTTCCTTTCCAAATCTCATCACCCCTTTCATAGGTGAGACTTTCAGAAAAACCCAATCATCAACTTGGAACTCTAGTTCTCTTCTCCTTACATTTGCATAAGAGTTCTGACGACTTTGGGATGTCTTAAGTCTATCTCTAATGAGTTACACGTTCTCCATAGCATAAATGACTGAGTCTGGACCTATCAAAGCTGCTTCACCTACTTCAAACCAACCAACGTGAGATCTACATCGACGCCCATATAAAGCCTCATAAGGGGCCATCTGAATGCTGAAATGGTAGCTATTATTGTAGGAAAACTCAATAAGAGGAAGGTGATCATCCCAACTACCTTTAAATCGATCACACAAACTCTCAACAACATATCCTCTAAGGTCTTAATAATACGCTCTTCCAGCCCATCCGTATGTGGATGAAATGTTGTACTAAGGTAACTTGAGTACCAAGACCTTTTTGAAATGACTTCCAAAAATGAGAGGTAAGCTATGGACCTCTATCTGAGTTGATAGACAAAGGAACCCCATGCAACCTCATAATTTTAGTAAGGTAAATCTTGGCATAGTCCTCTGCCAAATATGTAGTCTTGACCGCCAAAAAGCGAGAAGACTTAGTCATCCTATAAACTATCACCCAAATTGAGTCATGTTGTATGCGAGTACGAGGTAACCATATGATGAAATCCATATTGATCACATCCCACTTCCAAGTAGGAATATCGATCTCTTGAGTCATACCTACTGGTTTCTGATGTTCTGCCTTGACTTGCTGGCAATTAGGGCACTTACTCACAAACTCTGCTATATGCCTCTTCATGCCATTCCACCAATAGAATTCCAGCAGATCACGGTACATCTTAGTGGCACGTGGATGAATATAATACCTGGACTTATGAGCTTATGCAAGAATATGCTGCCTCAACTCTCCCACATTAGGAACACACAATCTATCTTGGTAGAGAAGTACACCATCTCCCCTTTGGGAGAAAACCTCCACTCTCTAATTTTTTACTGCACTATTTAGTTCAAGCAAGATCGGATCACTCTCTTGCTTTTCGTTAACCTCCACTACCAAAGACGATTCTTCCCCATTCTGAACTGTTACACCGCTGTCTGATATGCTCATAAGGCAAAATCCCAAGCAAGCAAGCATGTGAACATCCTTCACTAGCTCTTTTTTTTCTCAACATGGTCTACACTACCCATAAATAATCTACTAAGAGCATCGGCCACTACATTCACCTTTCTATGATGAATATGCACACTCATATCATAATCCTTAAGGAACACAAGCCATCTCATCTGGAGAAGATTCAACTCTAACACATACTGAAGGCACTTATGATCGGTGAACACATCTACATGAACACCATAAAATTAGTGTCTCCATATCTTGAGTGCAAACACCACTGCTGCAAGCTTGAGGTCATGAGTTGGATAGTTCTTCTCATGCACCTTAAGTTTTCTAGAGGCATAAGATGTAACCTTATCTCTTTGCATCAACACACAACCAAGGCCAACTTAGGATGCATCGCAATAGATCACATAACCATCTAAAACCTCTAGTAGAGTCAAGACAGGAGTTATAGTCAATCTAGTTTTCAATTCTGCAAAGCTTTTCTCACAATCATCTGACTATTGGAACTTGACCATCTTCTGAGTCAACCTAGTCAATGGTGAGGCTATGGATGAAAATTCTTCCACGAACCTTCTATAATAACCTGCTAGACCGAAGAAACTTCTGACATCTGTAGCAGAGGTAGGTCTGGGCCATTGTTTCAATGCTTCTATCTTTTGTGAATCTACGTGGATCCCTTCGCTAGATATAATGTGACTAAGGAAAGCAACGGATTGCAACCAAAACTCATATTTACTAAACTTAGCGAATAACTGGCGATCTTTGAGAGATTGCAGAATAACTCTCAAATAACTTGCATGTTCTTCCTCACTCCTAGAGTAAATGAGGATATCATCAATGAAGACGATAACGAACAAGTCTAAGTACTGTTTGAACACTTTGTTCATCAAATCCATGAAAGTTGCAGTAGCATTGGTTAGTCCAAACGACATAACTACAAATTCATAATGACCATACCGAGTTTTGAAGGCTATTTTTGAATGTCACTATCTCTGACTCTGAGCTAATGATAACCCGATCTGAGGTCTACTTTCAGAAATGACTAGCACCCTGAAGTTGGTCAAACAAGTCATTAATCCTGGGGATGGGATACTTATTATTGATTGTAACCTTGTTCAACTGTCTATAGTTAATGCATATTCTGAGAGAACCATCTTTCTTCTTTACGAACAATACTAGTGCACCCCATGGTGAAATACTAGGTCTGATGAAACCCTTATCTAGAAGGTCTTTCAACTGATCTTTCAATTTCTTAAGCTCTGCTGGAGCCATTTTGTAAGGAGGAATAGAAATAGGCTGGGTATCTGGAAGGAGATCAATTCCAAAGTCGATTTCCCTTTTGGGAGGAACCTCGGGAAGATCTTTTCAAAATACTTCTAGAAATTCACAGACTATTGGAACTTACTAAAGAGATGGGATTTAAAGGATAGAATCCTTAGCCCGGACTAGATGATAGAGATAACCCTTCGATATCGTCTTTCTGACCTTAAGGTAACAAATAAATCAATCCATAGGCGCTAGGCTACTACCGTTCCATTCTAAGATTGGTTCTTCTGGAAACCAAAAACGAACTATCCTAGTTCTACAATCAACTGAGGTATAACATGAGTGTAAACAACCCATTCCTAGAATGACATCGAAGTCTACCATTTCTAACTCTACTAGATCTACTTAAGTGACTTTCCGAGAGACTATGACAGGGCAATTTCTGTATACCCATCTAGCTATAACTGGGTCATCGACTAGATTAAAGACTGAGAAGGGTTCTGAGAGAGTTTCTGGACTGACACTGAACTCGACTGCTATACAAGTAGTTACAAAAGAAAGTGTAGCCCCTGGATCTAACAATGCATAAACATCAAGGTCAAAGACTCGTAACGTACTAGTGACTACATCAGGAGAACCTTCCTGATCCTGGCGAGCCTGAAAAGCATAAAGTCTGTTCTGGTGTTGACCGCCACCTGTACCAGATGAGTTACCCTGTTGAGTTGGGCGACTTGGTGGTGCTGCTGAATTTGTAGACTGAGCTTTACCATTACCACTTTCTTGACCTGTCTAGAAGGTCAATCCCTCAACGTGTGACCAGACTGACCACATCTAAAATATCTTTCTTTTCCTGCAAGACACACACCCGGAAGACTCTTACCACAATTAGGGCAAGTGGGGTAACTGGTTGTGCGTGAAACACTTCCCTGAAACTTAGAGCCTGGTGCTCTGCCCTTTTGTTCATACCTATTATTGGAGGATGGAACACTAGCTAATAAAGGGGATGGATCTGAAAACTTCTGCTGACCCTGCGAGCAATTTCCACCACCCGATTTCTGCTGAGAATAGTCATAGTTCCATGTCCTAGCCTTCTTATTTTCCTTAGCCTATTCCCTAAGCTTATCACGCTCAACCTGGTGAGCATGAGTCATAAGCCTAGAGATATTCATATCTCCCAGCAACATAGCATTTCTGCACTCTGTCTTCACCAAATCTGATACTCTATACAAGAACTTATTCATCTGAGCCCTGGAGTTAGCAACCATGTGAGGAGCATACCTGGAGAGTTTGTTAAACTTCAGCCTATACACTTGGACTGTCATGTTTCCCTGCCTCAAGTTCATGAATTGTTGGGCCTTTGCTTCTCTCAACTTTATTGGGAAAAAACTGTCGAGAAAAGTCTCACTGAAGAACTCCCAAGTAATAGGAGCTGCATTTGCACCCCTATTCTCCTTCAACTGAGTGTACCAGATATGAGCCACGTCTTTCAGCTGGTATGATGCCAACTCAACCCGATAATTCCAAGTAACCTGCATCACCTATCTTTTTGATTTCATTCAAGAAATTTTGAGGATCTTCATTAGTCTGCAATCCTAAGAACTCATGCGGATTCATCCTAACAAAGTCACGGACCGTTGCTGCTGCTGATCTACTATATTCATTCATAGGATCATGAACCCGATTGTTCTGGTGGGTCATACTCTAAGACAACATCTGTATGACATTCCTGAACTCAGCATTGGAGACTTCTTGATTTGGGATTGGAGGAGCTGCGTTTGCATTCTTGGCATTCGCATTCCTAGCGTTAGCTCTACGAGTAGGCATGATATGAAATGTAGAATGTCAAATTAGAATGGAATAAAATCAAAACTTACGCACGATAAGAGTAACAAGAAAGTGAAGTTTTTCCTAAAACACATTATAGCCTCCCTAACATTAGATGTGGTGCATTTCACACCCATGAAAAGGACTCTAATTAGTGCGGCTTTTTTCAGACATCTTAGGACTCCTGAACCTAGTGCTCTGATACCAAGTTTTGTCACGCCCTGAGCTACCCCCGAGACTCAGACATGGATCCTTGGACCACAAGTGATCCCAAGATAACCTTGTTGTCATGATTATGAGCATACTAAAGATAATAAGCTATTGTGGAAGGTAAATCATACTTAAAATGAAAAGATGGGTAATATCTATATTCTATAACTGAGATATTTGAATATAATGAGTTTAATACAAAAGAAATATTAACTCAATACTAAGCTGAATCTAACTATGTCTTAAAATAGCCTCCAAACTAGACTAGAAATACTAGGACAAGCCCCAGCTAAATCTAGCAAAAACTAAAACTAAATGACTAAAGACTGAAATGAAACTCATGACTGTTGTCCTCGGAGAATGAGGACTCACCACTGAATCTGCTGAACTACAGATCAGGAAATTGATCTATACGTGATCTGGATGCTGAGAACCTTAACCTACATCACGAGAAGATGTAGCGCACATATGCGTCAGTACTTAAAAGGTACTGAGCATATAGGATAGAGTAAACCTGAAATAGAACATAACTGAACAAGTACTAAAACAAGTATAATAATCTGAACGTGATGTGCTAATTTCTAAGCTAATTGGATGAAATGACCAATTTATAACATGCTAAAACTGAATATATTGATAAATGGTCAATGCAGTGAGTCTGGCTGAACTGTGGGAGCTACTAATAACTGATATTAAAACCACATGAGCTAAATGTGGAGTCCGATGTATACGCCCCATCGAGAGGACCCAATATACCCTGCCAAAGGTTTAAAGGCATGCTGGCGTGATCACTAAACTTATTGCCCACAGAAAGGAACTTACAACCTACTTGAGTAGTAGTCCTGGGACTATTGTTTACGCTAAACCCTAGTCGAACTTGGTATTATACTACTCCCAATAAATCTGTAAATTAACTGATTATATCTGAATTTTTGTAAGTACTTGGTAGCTCAAAACTGAATATGCAAACTGAGAATGCAACAATTAATCTGGTAAATATGCATTTATAACTAAGGCATGTATATCTAAAGTGTCTGAAATATATGACCTAGCATGTGTAATTCAAGAACTAAAGAAATACAAAGCTAGGATTTTGAAATTCATGCGATAATCTGAGTAATAACATGATAATCTGATTTGGAACATATATTTAATAATTAATAAAGTTATATCAAAGTTCTAGAAACCGTAGGCTTAATTATGATAAGAGAATCAATAACTGATTGAAACTAAGGACCCAATGGTTGAAAGGAACCCACTAGTGAAGTCCCACATATCTTGTGATGAAATCCACGGAAAAATACTTAAGTTTAGGGGCTGGAACTGCTGGAGCTTGTGGAGTTCTTGAACTAGGGTTCTTGAGCTTTTTTTCTCCTCTTTTTCTTCTAATTTTCTAAGTTTTGATTTAATGATTTGACTCGGATATGTTTTATTTATGTTTCTAGGCTTAAACTGACTAAAATATGATGATTTAGGGTCAAAACAACGTAACTTAGGGTTTAAATGGAGTGTGAAAGGTCAAAAAGACCCGTGGGAAGGTTGCTGTAGGGCCTCACGACGGCCAGGACTGGCGGTCCGTCGTGAGGTCCTGTTCGATAGGTTTTTACTAAAATGGGCATAAGTTTTTACTCGGAGGTCTGATTTTAGCAAGGTCGGTGGCTATGGAAAGATAATTTAATTATATATCTGTGGGTAGGTCATGGGAGACCTAATTCAGTTTGTTCTAAGAGTTATGATTATTTTAAATTGACCCAACTGCATTTCCCCTTAACCGGCTGCAAGTTTTCCACCTACGGTCAGACCGACGGACCGTAGGTCCAACTGCGAACCATGCTGGTCATCCATAACTCTTGTCGTAGAGTTGTTGAAGGGAGTCTTGATCAACGGTCACGGACCATGGACTGTCGTTTGACCTACGGACTGTAAGTTCGTCCGTCGTCCAAGACTTAACCAATTTTCTAGGATGAAATTTTTGGGAGTTTCTGATCCCATCGACGGTTGTGCAGGATGGACCGTGGTTCAGGCTACGGCGCGTCGATGCCACTGTTGGTAGCACCTATTGATATTTTTGAAAAATTAATTTTTGGTCTGTTTTGGCTACGGGTTGTTACAGTTTGACAAGATTTATACATGGAATTATAACAATGAATAACATGTTTGATCCAATGCTTTGTTCTTTGACTAGATTAATTATTTTTTCAAAATTTAATTGTGACTATTATTAATTTATATAAATATTAAGTGATAAAAAATAATATTGGGAGAAAAATAATTTTTCATTTGAGAAAATGAACAGTTCAAAATAATGATTTATTTATAATAAAATTAAAGTAAAAAAGAATAGAGGGGATATGCCTAAAATGAAAGTATATTTTGGAAAATAACTCAAAATAATTTTGTTAGTAATTATTATGTTTTTACTAAATTAGTTTCACTACACATAAGGTAAATGGGTGACAAGAGAATGTACATATGAGAAAATAACTTAATTTGTTGGGAAGAAATCCACAAAAAATCAACATTATTTCTATATATGGTTGAAAGCTGAAGAAGTAAATAACTTAACATTCTCTCTATATATGTAATAGACTCTTGAAGTAGATAACAAGGTAATAAAATTTATGTTTATTCTTGTTTTGTTTCAATGTCATTCCTATATAAATATATATATATATATATATACTTACATTCACTTTGAAAAACAGAATAACAATTATTGAAGAAATTAAAATGACTTCTTTTTTTACTTCATACTTCCTTCCTTTAGTACTTGTTGCAAATATTTTCAACTTTCAAACCTCTTTATGTGACACTACTGCAGATGAGACATTCATAGCAGGTATATGTAAACAAGTACAAGATCCTCCTTTTTGCTTAAACACTTTTAGAAAAATTTTAGCCCATCCGTATGTTCCTGCAGAAGTAACACGAGCCGCTATCGCTCAATCATTACAAAATGCTAACAATAACCATGCTTTCATACAAGTAGCTAAAGCAGCTGCAAAAGACAAAGAGACCCAAGACTTGTATGCCATTTGTGATAGTAGTTATGGATTAATGATAATCGTTCTTCAAGATGCTGCCCAATCATTAGCTAAAAAGGATTATAATGGCTTGGAAACTGACCTTTCAAGGTGTCCCAAATTTGTGAGTGATTGTAAAAATGCACATGGTAGCAAGACAACGCCTCAAATTTTAGATAGAAGTAGGAAACAACTTGATCTTATAATCATGTCAAAAGTTGCTGAAGGTCTCATTAAGAAATAGATAGTTTATATGATTTTTATAAATCAATTTGTTTTTCTTGAAAGTCAAGTAGGAGCTAATAAAGAGGAGATTGTTATTTTATTAAATCATTCTTATTTCTATAGTGTCTTATTATACTATGTCTATGCTTATATTTTTGTCTGAGCCTTGAGATATTTTTTCAATCTACATGTTGGAATTTTCCCCCTAGTACATTTTTATGATTTAATTAGTAAGGTAAAAGTTAATAATAACCTTAAAACATTAGACCTTGGCAATCGAAAAGTACATTCTACTTGGATGAAAGTAGATATGACCAATCGATGTTGTGACGATTTTTAGCATATTAATTTGAATTTAATTTGTGTATTTAGAATATCTTTGTATTCGATTAATAATTGCCGAAGCAAGATTTGAAGTCATGTAGCTCCAAAGTTTAGTTTGGGGCATCTATGATAAATTTTACAAGAAGATAAGTGGAAAAAATTGACTATTAAAATAATAAATTTTAAAATTACTTTTAAAAAATAAAATAAAATTTTAAAATTGATTTTATCACTCCCATTATCTCAAAAGGGTTTAGTTGAATCGTAAGTCACTATTGAGCTAAAACTGGATATCTCATATTTAAATTAACATTACAATATTAAATTTAATCTACTCATTATACAAAAAAAAATTATTAGAGGAAGAAAATAATGCCTTTTGTGAGCAATAAATTGATTTTTTGGTGGTAAATAAACAACTTTAATTGATTAGCAATTGCAATCTTACAAAGCTAAACAGGATTAGACCCATATTTTTCACAACCTCCATCAGCTAATGCAACATCAACGTAGTAAGAAAAATTGACTTTATCTCATTGGTGTATATGAGTTTTTCTGAAACTAGCATAGAAAAGATATATTATTTCTTGCTATATACGGATCTCATAAATGAGTTAGAGTATGTATATGGCCTGATATATCTTTTAATTTTGTAATTTACAGTTGATTAACTTTTCATTACAATAGTGACTTACGATTAATTTATAATTTATCTAGTCAAATTTATTTTTCCTCTCATTTTCTTTTAAAATTTATCATAGATGCCCTAACCAAACATTGGAGCTACATGACTTCAAATCGTGCTTTGATTGTTTTTAATCGAATACAAAGATATTCAAAATACAAATTAAATTCAGTTAAATACGATAAAAATAAAGCATGAATCGTCAAAAAATTGATTGGTCATATGTACTTTCGTGCAAGTGAAATATACTTTTGGATTGTGAAGATCTATAGTTCAAAGAGTATTATTAACATACACCTTACTAATTACATCATAAAAATGTACTAGAGAAAGAAAATTCTAACAAGTAGGTTGAAAAAATATCTCAAGGCTCAAACCAAAAGATAAGCACAAACATAATATAATCAGACACTATAGAAATGAGAATGATTTAATAAAATACCAATATCATATTTGTTAGCTACTACATAACGTTCAAAAATGACAAATTAATCTATAACAATGATGTAAACTACCTATTTCTTAACGAGGCCTTGAACAACTTTTGACATTATTTTAAGATTGAATTGTTTTCTACTTCTATCTAAAATTTCAGGCATTGCCTTGGTACCAAGTGCATTTTAACAATCACTCACAAATTTGGGACACTTTGAAAGGAAATTTTCCAATCCACTATAATCCTTGTTAGCTAATGATTGAGCAGCATCTTGGAGAATGATTATCAACCATCCAGAACTACTATCACAAATAGCATACAAGTCTGGGGTATCTTTGTCTTTTGCAGCTACTTTAGCTTCCTCTATGAAAGTATGTTTATTGTTAGGATTTTGCAATGATTGAGCGACAAGTGCTTGTGTTACTTCTTAAGGAATATACAGATGAGCCAAATTTTTCTAAAAGTGGTTAAGAAAAAAGGAGGATCTTGTATTTTTCTACATATGCCTTCTATCAATGCCTCGTCTGCACTAGTGTCACCTAAAAATATTTGAAAATTGAAATACTTGCAACAAGTACTAAAGGAAAAAGTATGCAGTAAAAAAAGAATTCATTTCAATTTAATGTTTTTGTCTATAAGAATAGAATTTTAATTTATATACAATTGAATCAAAATAAAACGTGTGTATATGAAATTTCTCTTTTCGCTTTATACGAACACAACTTTCACATTATATATTTTTATATTATGTGTGTATAAAGCAAGATAGCGAGTTTTTCTTTTTTAAATCCATATGTTGCTATGAACTTTGATATTATTCATGAGCAACTTAGTGAAGCATTCAGTATTTCTACATTTTTTGGTGAATCTATTCTATTAGAGAGAGTTTATCATGATTGTGCCATTTCCGTCAATCACAAGAGTATCATGATCGATTTAATTGAGTTAGACATGGTAGACTTTGATGTCATACTAGTATCAACTGGCTTCATGCCTGTTATGCCTCAGTCGATTGTAGAACTCAAATAGTGAAGTTTAAGTTTTCAAATGAGCTAGTCTTAGAGTAGAAAAACAGTTAGTAGTGCCTAAAGAATTGTTTCATTTCGTACCTTAAGGAAATGAAGTTAGTTTCTAAAGGGTGTGTCTACCACTTAGTCCTAGTTAATGACTTAACTGTTGAGGTACCTCCTATTTAGTCAGTTTTAGAAGTAAAAGAGTTTCCACAAGTCTTTTATGATGATCTACACAGAGTCCCTCCTAAGAGAGAAATAGACTTCGGCATAAACATCATTCTTCTCAACCTATCTCTATTCCACCATATAGAATGGCACCAACATAGTTTAAAGAGTTGAAAGAGCAATTGAAAAATATGTTAGATAATGGTTTAATTCGACCAGGTGACTCACCTTGGGGTGCTTCTGTCTTGTTTGTGAGAAAGAAAGATGGTTCTCTTAGGATGTGTATATATTATGTCCAATTGAACAAGGTTACCATCAAGAAGAAATATCCTCTTATAAGAATTGATGATCTTTTCGACCAGCTTCAGGGTGCTTCCTGCTTCTCGAAAATTGATCTCAGATCAGGCTACCATAAGTTAAAAGTTATGTAATGTGATATTCCAAAGACAACTTTTAGAACTAGATATGGGCATTATGACTTTTTGGCCATGTCCTTCGGGTTGACCAATGCGCATGCAGCATTCATGGATCTTATGAACAGATGATTCAAACCTTATCTAGATATGTTTGTTATCGTCTTCATTTATGACATACTAATCTATTAAAGGAATTGAATAAAATTATGCTAGTGACCTCATGATAGTTCTTCAGACTTTGAAAGATAAGGAATTATATGCTAAGTTCTCAAAATGTGAGTTTTGGCTTAAGTCTGTGGCATTATTGGGCCACATAATTTCCAGTAATGGAATTTTAGTTGATACCCAAAAGAAACAAGCAGTTTAGAGTCAGCCTAGATCCATGTCTCCAACTGATATTAGGAGTTTCTTAGGTTTGGCTGGCTAATATAGAAGGTTTTTTAAGGGGTTTTCATCAATTTCATCTCCGTTGACTCAGAAGATAGTTAAGTTTCAATAGTGTGAAGATTGTGAGAAATGCTTTCAGGAATTGAAAAAGAGATTGATTACTGGCCCGATTTTGACTTTACCGGAAGGTACTCAAGGCTTTGTAGTGTATTTTCATGCATCTAGAGTTGGTTTGGGTTGTGTCCTAATGCAGAATGACAAGGTTATATAGTTGAAAGTTCATGAGAAAAACTACCCAACCCATGACTTAGAGTAGGCTGCTATAGTTTTTTCCTTGAATATATGGCATCACTATTTTTACGGTGTTCATTTTGATATATATATATATATATATATTCACCATTCATAAGAGCCTACAACTTGTGTTCACTCAGAAAGAGCTTAATCTTACATAAAGGAGATGATTAGAACTGCTCAAGCATTATCACATGAGCATTCATTACCACCTAGGTAAGAATAATATGGTTGTTGATGACTTAAGCAGGTTTTCTATGGATAATACCACCCATCTTGTAGAAGAGAAGAAAGAACTAGTAAAAGATGTGCATAGACTTACACGTCTAGGAATCCAACTCATGGATTTCATAGACAGGGGGATAGTGGTGACAAGAGTAGCAAAATCATCATTTCTGTCACAAGTGAAAGAAAATCAATACCAAGATCAAATTTTGCTTGAACTGAAGGCAAATAATGTTCATAACCAATGAGTCTTAGATTTTGAACAAGGGGGAGATGGTGTATTGAGATAGAAAGATAGATAAGGTGTACCTATGGTGGATGGACTCTAAGAGAGGATTATGGAGGAAGCTCATAGCTCCATATTTTACATTCATTCATGTTCCACAATGATGTACCATAATTTGAGAGATTATATTGGTGTAATGGTATAAAGAAGGGAATTGTCGAATTTTTTGCCAAGTGCCCGAATTGCAAACAAGTTCAAGTAGAATACCAAAGCTTGGAGTTTTGGATAGAATATAAATTTTCTAGAGTTGAAGTGGGATATGATTTATGTGATTTCATCATGGCTTTACCCCTATGTCGCAGGCAATGTGATTATATCTGGGTTATTATCGATAGAATGACCAAAACAACCCACTTTTGGCCTGTAAACACTACCCATTTGGTAGAGGATTATTCTAGGTTATACATTCAAAAGGTAGTAAGGCTTCATGGAGTTACGATCTCCATTATTTTAGATAGAGGTGCATAATTTACTGCACAATTCTGGAAATCCTTTCAGAAAGATTTGGGTTGAAAAATGAATTTACGTACTGCCTTTCATCCTCAGACTGATGGGCAAGCAGAGCGCACTATTCAAATCCTAGAAGATATTTTGAGGGTTTGTGTGATTGATTTCAAGGGGAATTGAGATGATCACCAACCTCTCATTGAGTTTTCTTACAACACATGTTACCACTTTAGCATCCAGATGAATCATTATGAAGCTTTTTATGGGAGGAGATGTACATCTCCTATTGGATGGTTTGAAGTTGGTGAAGCAGGATTGATAGGACAATATTTAGTTACCAA